CTGCGTCACCAAGGAAAAGTGGCGGCAGCTGGAGGCGGAGGGGCCTGAGGGAAAGGAAGGCAGAGGGGTGCGGAGGCGGGCATTGGGGGCACTTGGGGAGGCCCCCTGAGGCGGTGATGTCAGACTGAGCTGGGATGGGGAGTGGAGAGTCATGGACTCAGGGGGCTGGGTGGGGGTGGTAGAGGGGACAGGCACTGCTGGTGAGGGGACAGCATGTGCAAGTAGGGGGCAGGGCTGGCACGGAGCGTGGGAGGAGCTGGGGGGGAGCAGAGTCTGGAGGGGGGGCGGGGCGGCTGCTGGGCCGTTGGAGGCCAGGCAGAGAACTTGGCCCCTGTCCTACTAGAAGAAGGAGGAGAGGGTGTCGTGGTCCAAATGCTCTGTGATTGTCTGACCCTCTGCTGGCCTCCATTTCCTGTTTGCAGGCTCCCCATCCCCCACCCCCAAAGGTTTTCATGGTCCCATCACCCACAGTCACACGCAGGCGGACAGACTGGAAACTGGCCGTGGCCGAGGGGCAGGCCCACATCCTAAGGGCGCTGCGGGAGAGGCCCCGGTGACCGAGGGGGCAGGCGGGCACAGGGCACACAGTGTTTGGGAGCGTGTCGGGGGCTGGGGTGGGGTGGGCAGTCTGGAGGAGACCGTCCAGTCCTGAGCTCTCCTGGTGACTCCTGACAAGGCCTGGGCCCAGGCCACAAACACACGCACCGTTCTGATGGTCAGAGGCTCGCCTAGCTGGGCTCCGCGCTCCCAGCCCTGGGCGTGGCCCTGCTGTTCGGGGGCTCGGGGGCTCTCACCAGGTCTGTGCAGGCGCTGAAAGAAGGTGAAGGTCGGGGGTGCTAGGCATCCCAGGAGCTTCCTCTCCAAGCGAACAGGTCAGACAGGGTTAGCCACTGGCATCAGAATCGCGGGCGTGGTCACCCCGGTACCGTGTGCCAAGCCCCCGCACGCCCTCCCTGGGTTCGTTCATCCCAATTTCACAGGCAGGGAAGGCACGGTCCTGAGAAGCCACATGGGGTTCCCAGGGTCCCCAGATGGAAGTGGGGCCCAGAGCTGAACTTGCCCTTGTCTATTGAGCTGTCGGGAGCCCTGCCCTGAAGCACACAGGCCCAGTTTGTGCCCCAGCTCGGCCCACGTGCTGGACCAAAGTGCCATGGTCCCGGTCAGGAGGGAGGAGGTGGGTTTCAGTGACGGGAGAGGCAGCACTGGGAAGAGTGTGACCGCAGCGAGCGGTGGCGGGCCCTCCTCCGAGTGCTTTATACGTTCGTCCTCTCAGCCACCCACTGAAGTCAGCTCTCATTTCCCCAAACTACAGAGGAGCAAAATGAGGCAAGGGGTGTACTACAGAGGAGCAAAATGAGGCAAGGGGTGTATGTGACTCACCCAAGGGGGGCAGATGAGTAGCCTGGGTGGGGATGAGGGGACCCAGGAGGACAGGTCACGTGGCTGGCGGGCCAGGGAGCCAGAATGGGCCAGTTCCTGCAGGGGCGCGGGTGGGCAGGGGCTGGGGTCTGTGCTGGGGGTCTGGGAGGCTCGTTTTTGTGACTTTCACACCCTCTGTGACCTAAGCAGAGGCATGACCGATGCCCCCAGGCAGGTGGGACCCACTTCCTGCAGTGGCTCCAGCCTCCTAGGCCCTGCCCCTACATTGCCCAGCAGCCCTCCCTCCATGCCAGGCCCATCCTGGCTGGCACCACCTTCCTCAGGCCGGCAGTGCCTCATCCGCTTCCTCGTTTCTCTCCTGCCAAGCTCAGTGGAGCACAGCCTCCCTGACCCCTTCCCCATCTCCGTTTCCAGGATCAGAGTCCTGGCCCCACCTGCAAGGCTCTTCCAAGAGCATGTGCCCTGCTTCCCTGTCCCCAGGCCCTCCCCAGCCATCCAGCCCTTGTCTGTGGAGCCCTCGCTATGCCACAGGGAGACAGAGGCCAAGGCAGGACCGGAACTGGAGCACCAAGGGGCCCAGGACCGGGCTCCGGTCACCACCCGCCTCCTGCCATAGGGGTCTCCTCCCTCAGGGAGGCTGCAGACCCGGCCGAGGGTGAGGGGTGGTGTCAGGAGCTTTTGAAGAGCTGAGAGGAGGGTTTGGCGTCCCGCCCCTGGCCTGTGTTGGGGTGGTGGAGAGGGGCTGCTTTATTTCTCCTGCCCCCTGAGCTCTGACCTCTGGGGCAGCCATCTCCTGAGAACCCTCCTCCTCCCCGCTCCTCCCTCCCCTGCCACATCTGCTTTCTGTCAGGCTCCAGCTGAGCCCCCTTCCCGCCCTGCCCCCCACAGAGGAAAACACTTGGGGCTCTGCCTCACTGCAGGGGTGGGGTTGGCCCTGAGCGATTAGTCCCAGCTGCTGCTTGTTTCCCTCTGAGGAGGGTGGAGGTTGGAGGGGAGTCGTCTTGACAGCTTCCCTGCTCCTTCACCCACAGGGGGCTGAGCCAGCACACATGGGAGGGGGAACAGCAGAGGCGGGCAGGGCACTGATAGG